GTAGTTATTGCTTTGTTGGTAAAAGTTGGCGTTATTTCTGAAAAACATACATGGGAATGGCAAACTGTAGAAGCCGTGGCCACAGGACTCCAGGTAAGTAGTGCTTCATCTCTGAACCCAATAGAACTTCACTATTTATTTGTTAAGCATTTTTATATATAATCTCACATAACACTACCACACACAGGCTATGGGGCCATGACTATTATCTTCACTCGACAAGTGAGGAAACAGGGAAACCCTGGAGAAAATAGCTGTAATTACTGATTTGTAACAGAACCAGGAATAAACCTGGTTTTTGATCCTTCTAGTCCATTTCTTTCTGCAGTTTCCCTCTTAGTCCTTGGGTGGTGGATTGAGAATACAATGTACTTTTGAGAAATATTTGTCTGAGGTAGTATTTTTTGAAAAATGGACAAATGTATATAATCTGGGGGRAAAATTTTTTGATACTTAACATACTTTTCAAAAGTACTTGGAGCAAAATAGCAGTTTATAAAACTAAATTAAGTAAAAAGATGGCTAATTTTGTTGCTGCTGCTGTTATAGGACTTTATTATCTGTATTGAGATGTTCCTTGCTGCTATTGCTCATCACTACACATTCTCATATAAACCATATGTCCAAGAAGCAGAAGAGGGCTCATGCTTTGATTCCTTTCTGGCCATGTGGGATGTTTCAGATATCAGAGATGACATTTCTGAACAAGTGAGRCATGTTGGTAAGTACCAGCCATTTAATTCTCCTGAAGAAGTAGATTATTGTATTTTTCCTACTTAGGCCATTTACTAGTTATTTAAGAAATGAAAAAAAAGAAAGCCATTTAACACAGTAACAAGGTACAGGCCCTTCAAATTGGGGGGAGAGGAAAAAAAGGGGGTAGTGGGGAGCTTTTTTTATGATGGTAAGTTTATAATGGTTAAAATACTTTTTGGCTAATGTGAAATCTTTTGTATTACTTTAAAGGACGGACAGTCAGGGGACATCCTAGGAAAAAATTTTTTCCTGAGGATCAAGATCAAAATGAACACACAAGCTTGTTATCATCATCATCACAAGATGCAATTTCWGTTGCCTCTTCTATGCCACCTTCACCCATGGGTCACTACCAAGGGTTTGGACACACTGTGACTCCACAGACTAYACCTACTACAGCTAAGATAAATGAGGAAATACTTAAAGATGCTACAGAAGAGAAAAAAGAGGCTTTAGATAAATCCGTGCACTCCTGAACAGTGTGCAAAAGCAAACTGCTACAACCATGTTATTCTATTACCTGGTATCCCTTGGCTCAGGATTTTGTGCTTGGGACAAGCCATAAATGATGGAAAATTTCAACATAAACACAGGGGAAAACCAGGTACAACTAYTGGATTTATACATGTTGAGTTTTGTATATCACAAAATAATCAGTCTAAATTTCCTAGACTTAGACTTGATTTCTGAGCATTAGAACATCACATACTCAAATGGTAGAAAATGACTACAGCTAAAATGCTCCTGATGTTACACTGCATTATCAAGAGGATGGACCTAAATGAGGAAAATTTAAAAATCAGTGCTTCCTACTACTGCTGCATGAATATAATGCTCTGGACAGAAAGCATAAATTCAGAAATATGAATTAGTGGAACTTAATCATAATCATGTGCCATATAAGCTTACCTAACAATTATTTCTCTACTTCCCAACTGAATGTCTTTCAATAAAGAAGAGTTTATCATTTATTTTCTGCAACTTTTTATGTCTCTCGTTCTTTAAACCTAATGCTTTAACAAAAATGTTTTGATTAGAGGCACAGAGCAGAAAAATGAAACAAATTTTTCCTCAGTGCTATTAAAAGTGGCAACAAATGTAAATTTGGCCGAGTGGTCTTGATTATTCATTAAACCATAGTTAAAAGACTTGTAGGTGTCATTTGGGAGAAATTTTTTACATAACAGGCAGTTTCTCTAATTGCTAGTCAAAACTAAAATTGGATCATGTTTAACACTATACTATACGAGAAAAGTGACACGGTAGTATGTTGCAAATATCAAAAATGAGTTGTTTCTCAAAACCTTTGATTTATATACTTATACACATACATTCATATATATGTATGTTTCACAATAGTAATTCAGATACAAAGACTTCATTTTGTTCAATATTATGAATTAAACATTTCTAATGAAAGAAAGTTATATATTAAAAACCTCAAAGATTCCACAAAATAGTATTTGAACTAATAAATGAAGACACAAAAATCAGTAACATTTTTATACACAAATAATGACCTAACTGAAAAATCAAGAAAAATAATCCCATTTATGATAGCATCAAAAATAAAATACTTAGGGGCTGGGGATGTGGCTCAACTGGTAGCGCACTTGCCTGGCATGCACAAGGCACTGGGTTCGATCCTCAGCACCACATAAAAAATAAATAAATTTAAAAAGAAAAGAATATGTTAAAAAAAAAAATAAAAAACATTGAAAATAAATAAATAAATTAAATACTTAGAGGTAAATTAACCAGGGATCTAAAAAACTGTCTTACACTGATGAAACAAACTGAAGATGCAAACCAATGGAAAGATACCCTGTATAATGCCATTCCTATTAAAATCCCAATAGCCTTCTTTAAAGAAAAAAAGACTTTAACATTGAAACACAAAAAGACCCCAAAGAGCCAAAACAATTCCAAGTAAGAAAAGGTTGGAGGCATTACATTTCCTGACTTAAAATTGCTACAAGCCAGGTGCAGAGGCTCATGACTATAGTCTCAGCTGAACTCAGGATGCTAAGGCAGGAGGATCACCTGAGCCCAGGAGTTCAAGACCAGCCTAGGCAGCAACATGAAAACCAATCTGAAAATTTATATGTATATTACAAAGCTATATATATATTTATATATATATATAGCTATATATATATTTGTTACAATAAACGTGTTTATTACMAAGCTATAATAAAACAGTATGGGATTGGCATAAAAATGGACTCACAGATGAGTGAAACAGAATAGAGAGACCATAAATAATTTTTGACAAGGGCATCAAGTTGACACAATGGAAAAAGGACAGTCAATAAATTGTGCTGAGAAAACTGAATTTCCATATACAAAAAAGGATGAAATAGGAACCTTTCCTATACCACACACAAAAATCAAAATGTATAGGAAATCTAAAYGTAAAATTAGTATAAAATTTGTATAAAAAAGAACAAAGATGATAGCTCAATGACTTTGGATATCATACGGAACGATTAGGTGCCAAAAGCAAAAATAAGTACAYAGAACAACAGACCCTTCAATTCACATATTCCACATCTACAGATCTATATTGAACATTTATTTGCCATTATTCCCTGAACAAAATGGTGTAACAACTAGTATTTTCAGTATATACAGTATTTATGTGTAAGGACTAAATAATACTTCACTGTATTAGGTATTATAACTAGAGATGATTTAAAATTTAAGGAAGGATATATGCAGGTAATATACAAATACTATACCATTTGACATAAGGGACTTGAGTATTCGCATATTCCTGTTTGCGGGGGTGGTCCTGGAACCTTCCCCTACCGAGGGACAACAACTGTACATCAAGCTAAAAAAATGCATAGCAAAGGAAATAAAATGTGGCAACCTACAGACTGGGAAAAAATATTTGCAAAGAATACATCCAATAGGGGTTAACATCTAAAATGTCAACTCAATGGTAGAAAAACTTTATCAAAAATGGGCAAAAGATCTGAACAGACATGTCTACAAAGACGACATGAAAATAGGCAGCATGTATGTGAGAAGGTTCTCCATATAATTAAGGAAATGCAATTTAAAACCACTGAGATACCAACACTTACCTGTTACTTATTAGGATGGCTGTTCTCAAAAGGTCAAAAGATACCATGCTGACAAGGTTATGGAGAACAGGGAGTTGTACACTGTTGGTGGGAATCAATATAGCCATATAGCCATTACAGAAAACAGTATGGAAGTTGCTAAAGAAATTTAAAATAAAACCACTATGTGACCCAGCAATCCCTCTTCTAGGCATACACCCAAAGAAAATAAAATCACCATCTTAAAGTTACCTGCAATTCCATGTTCAACAATCACAGCAGTATTCACAAGAGCCAAGTGATGGAAACAACCTAATTGCCTGTGAACCATGAATAGATAAAGAAACTAGTAGAATTATAGATGAGTTCTATTCAGCCCTTGAGAAGAATAAGATCTTGCCATTTGAAAATTCAAATATACAGGGACTGGGGTTGTGGCTCAGTGGTAGAGCACTTGCCTCCCATGTGTGAGGCTCTGGGTTCAATTCTCAGCACCACATATAAATAAATAAAATAAAGGTCCACTGACAACTGAAAAAAAAAATTAAAGAGGAAAAAAAAGAAAATTCAATTATACAGAGATACAGAATCAAACGATGGAAGGCACGGAACAGATATATAGAATGAATAAGTCTAGTGATCTAATGTACAATATGAGGACAGCAGGTAATAAATCCCGCAGTATGAGGTCTTAGCTGCTCTTCCTACAAAAATAAAACAAAAACTAGGTAACTGAAAACAATGTATGTTAATTTACTTCACTGTAACTCTTTATTTCTGTGTCCTAAAATCTGTTGTGTATCTTATATACACAAAATAAAATTTAACTTTTTTTTAAATTTAACTTAAAAAAAAAGATGGGTGGTATAACAATGATAGGTTTTTTTTTCTTAACAAAGAATCATCTTTGTGCCTTTCTTATAAAGAACATAGCACGTAAAAGGCATGATAATAATCTCCCCATTTCAAAAGTCTAAGAATGGGAAGAATTATGTTTCTTTTGAGCATCCAAATCAAAGTGCCTTTGGGTTCAACCCCAGTACCACACACACAAAAAGAAATCCATACAGAGTCAAGTAAAACTAAAGTACCTAAAAATTTAAAAACTAATGATTTGTTCTTTTCCTGAAAGCAAGTCTGCAATAATATTTCTAAAATAATGCTATTTTTATGATCTTTTAAATGTACTTTATTAATGTTATATTTTTAAATTACAAGGCATTAAATTTTATGTACCCATTTTATGATTACAATCCCACTAATTCAGACAAGAACTTTGCAGCTGATGCTCTAACAGTTTTCATTAGAAAACCGCTCCTCATTGTTTCACTGTGATGCTGACGTTGCTTTTGTGGTGCTCAACACTAAGAACAAGTTCCTCTCCCATTTCAACCTGGATGGGAGTATCTAACACAACTGCGGCCTGTTTCCAGTGGGAGGCTTCACTTGAAGTATCCAACCGAATCTCTTCATCAAGGTACATATGGTACCAAAACGGAATAGCAGTCACTTGTCCAGATTTACAAATGTGTACCTTTGGGAATTAAGAAATCAAGAAAACTTCATTAGGATAAATGAAATAGACTTTAATTAGTAAATCTTCTTTCTCTTTATAGTCAATTTTGAATATAAAAATTTAAAAATACATTTCTAAAATATATTTAACCACCCAATTCAAATTAATATTAACATGTTTTATTCACTAATACTCAAATCCATTTCTGTATATTGTTTAGAAAAGAAGCAAGATTTAAATCTTCAAAGTGGCTAAAGATATGTATATACAGTATTATCTAAGCTAATTATTCGGACCATAACAAGAGTTATCATTTTGTGTGTTGTCCTTACCTTCACTTCTCTGTTGGAGGTGTTCAAATACGGAGTCATTAAATCTAGTCTTAAGAGTTCCACTGGCTTGCTTAAAGGTGTACAGGGCAATGAAGACAGGTCCAAAAATACACGGATAGGCACCTATAGAAAATGTAAAGTTTTCACTTTTACTCATTCTTTTTATGGTCTGAGCTCACCAAGTATTTGATCTGTACTGGCTCAGTGTGACAGATGATGCTTTTTACATCTATTACCTCATTTCTTTTAGCATCCTAAGTCACAAGGACTTTCACTATCCCAGTTTTTCAGGAAAAATGAACCAAAGTTTAATCAGGTTAAATATTTGGCTAAGGCTTCAGTTACCTGTACATTTCTCACTTTCATGAATGCAAATTCAACTTACTTGAGTCAAACAGCTCCAACAAATTGTAAACCTCAAGTTTGTTTACRAACTAAAGAAGCAAAATAGTACAACACTGAGTATTAAGTTGTTTGACMAAAAAAAAAAAAAAAGGATGTTTGACAAAAATATGCCAAATTCAACCAAATAGATTTCATTTGGAAAAGTATGTTTACTCCTAAAGGGCAGTGGTTCTCAACTTTGGCAGCAAATTGAAGTCACCTGGGGACCTTTTACATAGGTTTGATTGCTCAGGCCACAATCCACACCAACACCAATCAAAAGTAGACACCCAGGTTTCAGTTCTGAAAGTACTCTGATGTTCCAAATGTACATAGTGAAAATCACTGCTATTATTTTAATCAATGTGATTGCAATGGAATCCTCCTATTAATAATTTTTAATCTCTTCCTCATTTGAAACAAAGGAAACTCCTGCTTTCCTTTCTATAAAAGTCCTTCACGGTGAAACAGACCACAGATACATCAACCTCTCCCTGGGCATCCTTGAAACCATCCAACCTTTCTTCTCCATAAAAATTCACAGTGACCTCCCATCTCATTTCCAGGATTCTTCATAATGCTTTTCATTCATGTTTCCATCCATCAATGAAAAAGCCCTAGTTTTCCACATAACCTCGCATTGCCTAGACACTAACCCCTCATGGCTGTACCCATACCAAACAGTATGATCCACTTTTGTTTCTCAATTTAACCTACTGGCCACTCCTGCCTGTCATCTTTGTCAATTCCTTCTAGAAATATCCAACGAATACCAATCAAGAGCTAGAAACCCAATCAAAAGCTTAGTTCTCAATCCTCTTTTTCTACCCCCCACCCAAGGAGATTTCATCTGTCTATATCACCTATACACTGATTCCATATCATCTGTACTACTGACTGCCAAATTTACATCTTCAGTCTAGAGCTTTCTTTGAACTCTTATCAAACTGCTCAAAAGGCCCCTTCCAAAAATTGGAACCATCCTCCTACTTTCCCCAGTAAATGCTACCTACCATTCCAAGTGCTTTGACCTAAAAAGACACTACAACACTCTATTACTACCACTTCARGCTAAGCCCTACCACCTCTCCTAAATTTCTACAAAAATCTGAGGCCTCTGCCAAACCTCCCAAGTGTTCTACTCCTAACATCAGGTTCTGCCTCTGCTCAATGGCCCCCAGTTGTTCCCTACCCCTTTCAGAGTAAAGGCCAAAGTCCTTACAATGGCCAAGAGGCTCTACAGGATCTGGCCTCATATTTCTCTGGGTTTTCTCTCAACTCTCTGAATATTTCAATCATGCCCCAGGCCATTTAATTTGTTGATTCTCTGACTCCAAACTGTTTGAATACCACTTACCCATGAGTCTTTCCTTAGATGTAACCTAGGTAAAATAGTATATTTCCAACATCCCCATTTATTTYCCTTAACCTACTAGCATGTCTCACCATCTATCACACACTTTTATTTATTTATTATCTTATCTCTTCCAATTTCAGTGCTAGCTCCATGAGTGTAGCAACTTAAGTTTCATAGCCATATTCTCAAATTCTAAAATAGTGCATGTGGTAGACATTTCATTAAATAGTTGCTGAATGAACAGAGTTCTTTATTGTATTTTTTTTAACAACCTCTCATTTTGTTTCACTGATTCACTCAATTGCCTAAGAGATAATCATATTAGAAGAGAGGCAATATTAATACCTAAGCAAATAAGACATAAGCTATAGCATGTAAAACTACCAGGAAAGATTATGGAGCCTCTTCAGATGAGTGGTCATCTACTGAAGAAGTGAGACCACAGTATTATAGGCCAGCCACAGGCATACTGGTATAAAGAACACAGTGTTGTTTCTCCAGTCAGAATGGCAGCTATTAAGAAAACAAACAACAATAAGTGTTGGCAAGAATGTAGGGGAAAACGCACACTCATACATTGCTGGTGGGACTGCAAAATGGTGCAGCCAATATGGAAAGCAGTATGGAGATTCCTTGGAAAACTGGGAATGGAACCACCTTTGGACCCAGCTATCCCACTCCTTGGTCTTAAAAACAAGAACTTAAAAACAGCATACTGCAGGGACACAGCCACATCAATGTTTATTGCAGCACAATTCATAATAGCTGAACTGAGGAACTAACCTAGATGCCTGTCAGTAGATGAATGGATAAAGAAAAATGTGGTATTTATACATAATGGAATATTACTCAGCAATAAAAGAGAATAAAATCATGGCATCTGCAGGTAAATGGATGGAGTTGGAGAATATAATGCTAAGTGAAGTCAGCAAATCCCAAAAAACCCAATGCCAAATGTTTTCTCTGATATAAGGAGGCTGATTCATAGTTGGGTTGGGAGGGGAAGCAAGTGAAGATTAGACTTAACTCTAGACARGGCAAAGGGGAAGAAGGGGAAGGGAGAGGGCAAGGGATGTAAAAAAGATGGTAGAATGAGATGGACATCATTCCCTGAGTACGTGTACAAAGACACAAATGGTGTGAATATACTTTGTATACAACCAGAGATATGAAAAGTTGTGCTATATGTGTATAATATGAATTGTAATGCATTCTCGTGTCATTCATAACAAATTAGAATAAAATTTATTTTTAAAAAACACAGTGTTAGATTCAACCAATGTAGGGTCTTCCAAGGCCAGCAGAAATAAGAAATTTATGTTTCCACAAAAAGGTATATGAAAAACAGACCATGGGATATAAGCTCTTAAGAAAGAAAGGATACAAGATAGGAAATATAGTAAAAAAGATGGCAGATGAACATGTATAATCCCAGAAATCCAGGAAAGTGAGGCAAGAAAATCACAAGTTCAAGGCCAGCCTCTGCTATTTAGTGAGACCATGTCTCAAAATTTAAAAGGTTTTTTAAAAGAGCTGGGGAGGGCTGGGGCTGTAGCTCAGTAGCAGAGCGCTTACCTAGCATGTGTGAGGCACTGGTTTGATCCTCAGCACCACATTAAAATAAAAAAATAAATAAAGGTATTCTGTCCATCTACAATTACAAGAAAAATTTAAAAAAAAAAAAGAGCTGGGGATATGGCTCAATGGTAGAACACCCTTGGTGGTGGGGGACACACACACACACACACACACACACACACACACACACACACACACCCCAGAATCAATATACGTAAATTCTGGTAGAATCAAAGAATTGTTTATGTCAGGATTAAGGGGAAATAAGATAGAAAGAAGATGGCATTTTGGATCATCCAAGAAATAATCTGTATCTTCTGATAAGTGTATTCTCTTTATTAAAACCTCCAAAATACTGAGATTGAACTAACTATAAAATTTTAATTATCCAGCCTTGAATAAAGCAGTTCCTTCATTAATTTAAATGTACCAAGAGATACTGCTCTTGAACAATCTAACTGTAAACACTTAAAAACTTACTATTCTTGGCCTTTAGATACAAGTTTTAGATATCTTCTTTTAACTCTGTACTCATCATCCTACCTTCCAACATTCTGCTTTGGCCTATCTCATCCCAACTATTCCSGTCTCTAACCAGAAACCTGTTCCAGAGATGTTCCATCCATACCCATTATTTTTAACTCACAAATCTGTGCTTTTCTGATAGTGCCTATGTCAGTTTAATCCTCATTTCCAATTCTTGGTTCCTCATCTCCTGGCTTGCCTTGCTCCAACTTCCTAGACTCCTAAATTCCTGTTCCCTGTGGCTGAACTTGACCCTGGACATTAGCTGCTCACACCTATCTGCTGCCAACTTGAGGTCTCAATGTAAGATTCAAGTTTAGAATATAGATCTTCTGGAGACTTCTTTCTTGACAAGGAGCACCATATTTTACAAGACCAAAACCTAGCACAAACTGTATTCATGGCAATATACCTTGTTTTTTTTCTAACCCCTAGGTTGATTTTTACACATAATAAATCCCTGTGCTCTAAGAAACTGATTACATTCTAATGTAGCTAAACACAATGACTCAATAAAACCTCAATGAGAAATAAGGTAGATTATAGTGACATGAGTAAATCTTCTTTTCTAGATACTTACCTGAAACTGGTTAATAAAAGGTGCTATATTTAACCCAAGGGTGCGTTCTAGTCCTTGAACAGCATTCTCTTCTACCAGTGTTTGTGATTCAACCAGCAGCCCAAACATTAGCACATACTGAGGAAAGATCTTGCCTCCAGACTGTAGTAAACACCTAAAAGATAACACGTGTTTTTTAAAGTTTTTTGATTTCCTACATTTTATGAATATCAAATAACTTAAGAATCATGAGTTACTGAGCCACACATTATGTATAGTCTAATGAACTTTGTGTTATTATCAGCTGGTGGTTCAGAATGGTAAAGCACTGGAAATAATTTCCCCAACAAGTCAAACTTAAGGAGACCACTGACCTATGAAACAAAAATAACCAGTTGGCTGGATGATGGACACAAGTCCTCAGATGCAGGCAAGGGTCATCCATGGATATGAAAATTAGAGGTTAAACATTCCTATCCTAAAATCCAAAATTTTAAACACTCGAAAATCAAAAACTTTTAGAATGCTACTTATAGGTATAAAATTCTACACCTGTGTATAAGGTATGCATAAAACAAATGAATTTCATGTGTAGACCTGGGCTCCATCCCTAAGCTATCTCATTAGGTTTATATGAATATTCAAAAATTCAAAAAAAAATCAAACATTTCTGGTCCTAAGCATTTCATGTAAGAGGTACTCATAATAATACCCCCACAAATGACCTGTTCATTACAAAGAGGGAAACTGTGAGCAAAATGGTGATGCATCTTAAGCCAAATGATCTGAGTTAACCTTAACAATCATGGGATAAAGCAGCACTATGTGCTTCCAAGTGTGACAAAACTTCTGTGGTAATCATTCCTCTCTAAAAATGGGTAATCTGGATCTAATCATAGGAAAATATGAWGAACAGTCTATAAAATAAATGGCTTAAATTCTTCAAAACTGTTAATGTCATGAAGACTGAGGAATTTTCAGAAAAAAAAAAGAGACTAAGGAAACATTAAAAACTATCCGAATAAAGAAGATTAAGGARACATGAACACTAAACATAAAATGTGATCCTGGATTGAATTCTGAGACCAGGAATTTAAAAAGTTATGAAGAACACTGTGACAAATAGTAAACTGGAGTAAGATTTGTAAGTGAGCTGGGTACAGTGGTACATACCTGTAATCCCAGCAACTTAGAAGGATGAGGCAATTCAAGGACTCTCCGGACAATTTACTGAGACCCTCAGCAACTTAGTGAGGCCCTGTCTCAAAATAAAAAAGGCTGGGGATGTAGCTCAGTGGTAAAGTACCACTGAATTCAATCCCCAGTACGAGAAAAAAAAAAAATGTAGGCTTGATAATAATATAAAGCCCATGTAAATTTTCTTATTTTGTTCACTATATACTGCATAGATGAATAACTTGTTCTTAAGACACATACTCCAAAGAAGTAGGGGTTCCCTGATATTCAGAACTTACTGTAAATGGTTCATGAAGAGAATCATAAAGCAGATGTGACAAAGCATTAATCATACCTGTGAATCCAGACTTGTGAATCTGGGTGTAAAGTACAGGTTATGTTCTTTGTCCACACCACCCACCCACTGTTCTTTTTTTTTTTTTTTTTGGTACTAGGATTGAACCTAGCCAGGGCACTCACTCTTTGGTTTCAATAATTTGCTAAAATGGTTCACAGAATTGAGAAAAAACATCTTACTTGCATATACTGTTTTATTACAAAGAAGACAATTCAGAAACAGCCAAACAGAAGGCATACATAGGGCAAAGGTAATACTGTAGTCTAGAATTACATACAGTTCACCATCACTTCTCGAACTAATTCCCTGCTTCCTTAAAATAAAAATTTAAAATTTAATATGTTAATGTAAGTAAAATTTCCTAAATTTTGTGAGCTCTTCTAGCAAATTAATCAAACCTAAAGAGAAGATTTACAAATTGATAAATTTATAGCCAGTTGGTAGGATAGGTAACAACCTACTGTATGCAACTGGTACCTGAAGTTGGAGGCAGTCCTGTAGAACTGAGTCCTCAACCTGGGGGATCTGATGCCATCTCCAGGTAGGTAGAAATAAATCTGAGGACACCCTGCTGGTGTACACTTAAGAACTTCTTGGTATGCAATGAGAAATCCCTGCACATCTTGTGTCAGAATTATTATACTGAGTGGTTAGTGAGTAAAAGGGAAATAGGGTGTTTTTTTTGTTTTGTTTGTTTGTCTGATTATATGGAGGTATGGGAGAGTATAGAGCTTTGCATACAAGCTATCCTCCAGCACCTCAATGTGTTCACCAACTTGGAAAGTCTGAACCTATCTGTTCTAAAGCAGGAGGGGGGGGGGTGTTGTTTGTTTGTTTGTAATGGAAATACCATTACACAGGCATAATTAATTCACTGGTCCCTGGTGATACATGATTCAATTCCCAGCCCYACTCCCTTCTCCAGGACTGAAATTTCCAACCTTCTAATCACATGGTTCCTCTGGCAACCAGCTCCCCCCAACCCCTTCCCCRCCTCCCAAAGCTGTTTAGAGGCTCACCTAGAGATATCTCATTAGAATGAACTCACATATGGTTGGATTTTAAAAAGGCACTCATTTTACCCTATCACCCAGAAAATTCTAAGGTTTTAGAAGTTCTTCTATAGGAACTAGAGAACACCAATGTATATTTCTTATTATAACATCACAATATCCTAGGCAGTAACAAGAAATAATAGGCTGAAGAAAATGTCAACATTCATTTACCAAATCCTAAAAGTGAGAAAAGTTTGAACCATAAACTAGGAACCATGCCAAAGAYAGAAAAAGCAGTGCATAAAAATTACTTTAAAAGGTGACATTCAAATTACTTTAAAACATTCTAAAACTATTTTTTAACCTCAATGTTACTATCATGAACAGGAATGTTATGTTATGTTCAGAYAAAATACCACTGGACTTGAAACTGCTTATCTTTACCAACATGAGTATTTTGTCACATCTCTACTCCTTAATCCAACCCTTTAATTAAGTGATACTTCAGAACCATCTATGTCTTCAACGATAAAAAATATGTTCCACTTTAAAAGTCTAACCATAAACGGTGAAAATACTGAAGTTTCAATGTGTCTTTGTACTCCAACCCTCCAAAATTTGAAATGTTAGATAAAAGCTTACCAAGCTTTCTTCTGTATTTTAATCTATATGAGTGAACAAGAGTCTAAGAATGAACATTTTAAACTACYGGCAAATATAGTCTTAAACGCATAAGCTTCTAAGTGACTCATTTCTCCTTATCCTATTATTGTAGTCCACTGAGAGAGATGCCCTTTATCATTCAGCCCATATCATTCTAATTTCATCCTTGATGTGTCATGAGTCCCCCTTACCCCAACACATACACAGAGGCTCAAGACAGCAATAGCAAGGCCTGGGTAAGAGTATCTGCATGCTTCCGGCCCCATGCTCAAAATAATTCTACACATTCAGAAGTCCCTATAAAGGAGACTGGGCTGCTACTTAGGCTGAAGCATTATCAGAAGGTATTTGAGAAAGGGGATTGGGGAGAATCTTGGTTTAAACAAGGATTAAGGCTGCTACCAGCATTTAAGGCCCAGAGATGCCAAAGCTGAAGACACACCCACATGAGAACTGTCTCAACCAAAATGCCATTATTAATAAGGGGAGTTGCAGATAGCCTTCATGTAAGTTGTTTGTTACTAGGATAAGCTATCATTCAGACAAAGCAGACCCCCTGACAAATTGCTTTATCACCAAAACTGCTTTTTAAAAAATCATTTACAGGTTCCATTAAAATAAAACACCACTGCCTGAAAGCTTTTTCACTAGGATTAGGTAAAAGAAAAGAGTGCACATTTTGGTAACTGCTACTCAACAAAGTACTGGAGTCTTAGCCAAGGATAAAAAATWAAAAAAAATTTTTAAAAAGACATTCAAATAGTAAAAGTGTCTCTGATTGTAGGCTTACATGTGGAAAACACTAAAGATTCTACCACAACCCCTCACAAAAAACAGAATAAACTAGTTTAGCAAAATCACAGGACAGAAAAAATATACAAATCATTTATGTTTCGATAAACTATCAATGAACAGCCTGAAAAGAAAATTWAAAAAAAAAAATCTATTCACAATAGCATCTAAATACTCAGGAAAAATACAAAGAAAATAAAAGATTTATACATTGAAGCCGGGCATGGTGGCACAAAACTGTAATCCCCAAAACTGAGAAGTCTGAGTCAGGAAAATCTAAAGTTCAAGGCCAGCTTTAGCAACTTCTGAGAGGCMCTCAGAAATTTAGTGGGACCCTTTCTCAAAATAAAAAGTGCTGGGGTAAGTGGTAAGTGGGTTCAATACCCAGAACAAAAAAAAAAAAAAAGATTTGTTCATTGAAAACCATAAAGCTTTGCTGAAAAAAATTAAAGGCATACAGAAATGTAGACATTTCATGTTCATAGATGCAAATACAATATTGTTAAAATGTCCCCACTACCCAAAGTAATGTGCACATTCAATGCAGGCCCTATCAAAATACCAACAATGTTTTCTGCAGAAACAGAAAAATTCACCATTAATTCATATGGACTCTTAATGACCCTGAATAGACAAAGCCATCTTGAAAAAGAATATCAAAGGCATCACTTTTCCTGATTTCAAAACACATTACAATACAAAGCAATGGTAACCAAAACACAGTGGTACTGGTATAAAGACAGATATATAGACCAATGGAGTAGAAGAGAGAGCATATAAATTAACCCAAAAATGATGGTGGGGAAACTGGAAACACAAAAAAAAAATAAAGATGGAACGTTACATGACAACTGTATATAAAAATTAACTTGTGCTGGAGTCGTAGCTCAGTGATGAAGAGCCTGCCTCACATGTAAGACCCTGGGTTTGAACCTCAGCACCACATTAAAGAATAAGTAAATAAATAAAAGTATTGTGTCCATCTACAACTAAAAAAAAAWTTTTTTTAATTAGCTCACAGTGGATTAAACACCTAAATAGAAGACCTAAAACTATAAAATTCCTAAAACAAAATTTTGGGAAAAAGCTTGAGGACACTGAATCTTGGAAGGCTGAGGCAGGAGGATCACAAGTTCAAGGTCAGCCTAAGCAATTCAGGGAGACCCTGTCTCAAATTAAAAAATAATAAGG